AACACTGGTAGACTACCTAATGAAAGAATTCTTGTATTAGTGCATGCATTTGGGTTCTGTACACTTAACGACCCACAAACTAAACAATCCACAAAGTTTAATATTACATTAAATACACATGCAGGAGTCCATGAAAGATTCATTTTCCTCCTCATTATGGACTACAAGTATTACTTGTACATAGGTGTATAGGAATGATTCGAAAGTTAGGGGAGCTGAAGGGGGCTGAACATAAAAACATCTAAATATGTACTGTCATATGTGCTCTCGACAGCTACTGCATGCCTAAACAGCTACTGCATGCCTAATTCCTGCCATTTGTTATTGCTACATCATGCCCATTTAACTGAATGATGAGTTTCAAGCTAATAATAACCTACTAACAACTTGAAATAAAGCCATGTGATGGTATTTCTTATTGTTCATCTATCAAAAGTTGGGGGGCTAAACCCCTCCTGTTGAAAAATTGGGGGGCTTCAGCCCCCCCTAGCCCCCACTTTCCTACGCCTATGCTTGTAGTATATGTGGAGGAGAATGCATACAAACCAAATCTATTTGGTTTGTATGCAAACATTATGCTTCTACTTTTAAAGGAACTATGTGCATGTGTAGCTGCAATTAGCCTGCAATTATTTACTGTTTGACATCAGCCTTACTGCCTTTAGTGGCACCATGACTACTATTTACTTCATACATGCTTTGCAACTTAATTTGCTTTTATTCATTTCTTATCCCTTTTTCTACTCTACCTCTCTTTCACTTTTGCTTTCACTAGTTTTTCATTAAATTATTTTTTCAGAATAAAAATATATTATCCGTGGCAAAAATAATAATAACATTGTTTATGGTAATAATAATTATCCTTTTTCTCATTTTCTCTACAACAAATTTCTAAGACAAAATTCTACTTGACTACTTGACAAAAAATGAACTATTTCACTACCACAATAAAAAAAGACTAAAAAATAGAAATTAATCAGTTACTGCATGGAGCTGGTACATGATCACCATTCATCCTCATAACCTCACATGTCATTCTTAGAAGTTTGAGTTTACATATGCCAGAGCAATCTATTAAATAGATTATTGAAGAATAATAAACAACATGGTACATAATAATTATTGTCCATTGCCATGGATGCATACAATTATAAAAGGGCTACAATATGAAAAACAGTTGAAAATGATCAAAGCATAGGAGTTGTAGTAACAATCAACAACACCTGTAGCTATTTGTGGGAAAACTAAAAACAAATGGTACTATACAAGCAGTCAAGCAGCAGAACAGGCAACATTAAAACTAGGTTTACATTTGACGAAATGGTCAAAAAGTGCGTGGGAGATTTGACCTTTTGATGCAAAAACACTTTGAAGTTGATGCAAAATTGGTCAAATTTCAAATTTTGTGTTCATTTGCATTGCGTTTTGTGTCAAGTGTAAACCAGGCTTAAAAGGGTACAAAATAATACAAAGTTATAAAACAGGGACTCATACAACAGAGCAAAAGCAATCATTATTCTTAAATAACTCACTTACCAGGCATTGGTGAAGTAGTATCACCAAAAGTAGTATTCAATGAAAATGAATTGATATCATTCAATCCAGCAACAGACAAGTACACATTAGGCATTGATGTCTGCCTCTTTCTACGACTTCCATCATCATCATCATCATCAGTAGTTGACTGTACATATAATTGTGGACTAATGAAATAATCAATGCCATTTCCATTGCTTGTGACAGAGAAATCTTGTGTTAGCGCATCTGGGTTCTGTATAGTAAATGAACCACGGACCACCAAATTTCCCACTGTAATATCAATTTTTAATGTCATTCCAGTTGATGGAAACACATACTGTAATGAACGAGATGCGCCTTTTTTAAGGGTAGTAGCAATCTCTTTTCCTGTCTCAGATTCTGTTGAAGCTATAAATTGATTTTATAAGTATAATTTTATTTTATTATAATCAATGACTTACATGCACAAGTTGAAACTCGTAATTGTGTCAATACAGCCTGAAAAGTATTTGATGAAAAACCATCAATAGTAAAAACACCTTGTTGACCATTTGAAGCAATTGCAACTAGCTCTGTCCTACTGGCGCCACTTCCAATACCAAAGGAGAAAACATTAATCTTGTCATTATGGACAGCTTGAGCAGATTGTACTGTTGCTGCAGCATTATTAGACATTCCATCAGTAAAAACAGCAGCTACACGAGGGATACCTTCACTAACACGAGCAGTAGCAAATGCTGTACTTAGTAAATCCAATGCTGCAGCAGTGTTTGTGCCTCCTTGAGTGTATGATATACCTCTAATAGCAGTAGCCAATTGTGAATAAGTATTAATGGAACCCAATGGGATAACAACTGATGGACTGCTAGCAAAACGAATAACTCCAACACGAGTGTCATTTGGTCCAATGGTAAAGTTAGACAGCATGTTTGCAACAAAATTTTTCATTATCTCAAAGTTTTGAGCTGTAACACTTCCAGATGCATCCAATAAAATAATAAAATCAAAAGCCCTTGCAGTACAATCTGTACAAAGAGAAGAATAGCATACTTTTACACAGTACTGAAGTACATACTTAAATAATCCTGTATAGCTGATACAAAAGGATAGTCAGCCCTATTGCACTGTTGAGCATAAAGGAATGTAGAAATCTGGGAAGAACACTGAGCAGTTGTTGTTTTAATCTATAAAGGTAGAATAACTAATAATAATAATATTAATATTAATAATAATAATAATTTGTTGTTTTTTGTCTTCATTTTATTTGCGTTATTTTGTTATTTTTAGTTTTCGTGTTTCAGGATTTACATAAAATAATTAACAAAGTGAGTAGTACATGTACATAATCAGTTGGTATAATAATAATAATGATAATATTAATAATAATGATGATTAAGGATAATAAAAAAATAGATGTGCTTCTGAAATGCTAATTGACCCTCACAAGTGGCTTAGCAGTGCCCTCTGTTCCACCTAATGGGGATAAGAGAATTTAACTTTTTTTGTTTTTCCTCTCCGATCTATTTTTTTCGAGTTTCATTGGATTTTTTTCTATGGCTTTCCCTCTATATTCTCATCATAATGTTAATAATTAAGTATTGTCTATATGTTCCTTGTTTTGGCTTTTATAATATTGATAACGAAAATAATGATAATGATAATAAAATAAATAATAATAATAACTAATAGTCTCTTACCTGATTTAGGGACTGTTTATCCCAACTTTTTTTACCAGGATAAATTCTATTTCGAATACAATTAAGGTTCTGGCATTGAGGTGATAAGAATATATCTGTACAGAACCCATTATCAATGTAACACTGAGGACGACTTGCAACAGCAAATGCTTCAAAATGGCTACAGTCAGTATTAGCATTATTATAAAGAGTATCGTTGCTAACAATAGCCTGCATCAAACATCTACGGACACTAGTAATCCATGCCTGACCCTAAGATAATAAAAAAATTTTTTGGTATATGACTGCATTCTATTTATTGCTTTGGAAATTATATGCACCAGCTCTACTAAGAAATGTATGTTTTTAATATACTAGCAAATTATTTTATTGAGGTATACAATTTGTCATAACAGCCTAAATTCTTAATTATATTCAATGCTTTTTAAAAATATTTTTAAAGGTTAATTTAGTTTCTTAGAATTTACTATGAGGATATTATAAATCATTCAAGCAATTTGTAACCAATTTAGGTTAGATCACCTGGGACATATTTACATACAAGGATATCAGATATCAAAGCTACCCATGGGCCGTGACTTGTTCAAAGCAGCTTTAATGATAACTTTCTAAATCTATATAGCAACTCTGTTGACAGAAATTATATTTGACAGTACATCAAAATAACCCCCCAGTTGCTTTCAACAAAGTCAAATGCTAGTAGGTTGTAGGACACACATCAGTGCAGTCAGTGTACTTACTGCTGTTGTGAAGCAACTCGATTCTTTAATATATCTAAGACAGTAGCGTTTACCACGGCGAAGAGGATAATCCTTTGGATCACAGTTGAATTTTTTATGCAAGCAATCATAGAAACTGCAGTTACCAGCACTGGCCAGAACAGAGCAGTTGTCAGTGCCTTGAGCTACAGTGATACACAATAGAATGACAACTGCAACAGCAATAGTGGAAAAACCAGAAATCATTTTACAATATTAGCTGCAGCCTATTAAGTTAAAAAACAAATAAAAGCAAGAGGATAAGAGTGAGCTGGGAAACTGAAGAAAACAAAAACTAAATGAGATTAAGTATAAGCAATGGCAGGAAGCATTATTGATAGCATACAGGAAGTATCCAGTGTCATACATCTAGATCTAGACATGCAGAAGCATACATGCATTGCTAGAAGGAATGAATATTTTATCTATGCCTTAAAAAGATGGTAAATTATAATTTGAAAGTGAGTGAATTTTTAAAGCCAATTTTATATCCATGCTTAAGTACCATTAAGCCAGAATGCTGGTTATATACCTAATAAGAAATCTTGTGCTAGTGCATTTGGGTTTGTACACTAAACAATCCATGAACTAAATGATCCAAGAGCTCTGATTAGCTGCAAATATTTACTGATCGCCTTAGTGGCACCAAGAGTACATAGATAAACATGCATTAGAGCTTAATTTACCTCATAAATTATTAATTTATTGCATATTTCTTTTTTCACTCTACCTATCTTTCACTATTGCTATCACTACCTTGTCATTAAAACTTTTGTTGAGAATCTGATAAGAATAAATGATTCAAGGCAAATATAACAATGACATTGATCATGGTAATTTTTAATATTTTTCCTTTTCCTCATTTTCTCTACAATAAATCTCTAAGAAAAAATTTTACTTGACTACTTGACAAAATTAACTACAAAACTAATTAACTAATCATTAAATAAAATGATTTATTTTGTCAGCTTCCCGCTTGTGTCTTAGTAATAAGGTTGAAGAAACATAGTTAACATGCCCTCACTATCAAAAATAAAATTTTTATTCACTTAATTGTCTGTCATCAGTCAGACAATTCTTCAAAAATCAATTAATAACTTAAATAACAATATACTGTGCTGATTAAAAATAAAAACAAAAGAGAAAGTAAAATACTTATTTCTAATAAAAAATTAATTAATGTGCAGTAGATCTACAACAATCAAATGAAAGAAGCCTACAACTAGTCATATAAAGCACACATGCACAGAAAGCATCCCATATCTATATAAAAGAGGCTGAAACAGACCAAAGCAACCACAGCCTTGATTTCATTGTTGATTTAAGTCAGACCATTTTTGATACGACTCCAAATTACACATACACACTAGAGCAGTAGCTGCAGTATTAAACCACATATGCAACCCTACATACCAAGCACTACCACTTGGTAATAACATAATCAAAAGCCCTTGAATTGCAATCTGTACAAACAAAAAAGTAGTATTTACATACCTTTTATATTTACATGCATTTCTCACTTAAAGGTTAAACCAATGTACCATGCTGCGGCATCTCATAATTATCTATCTGTCTGGCATCATTGGGAACAATGCAGTCAGAAAATTTAAACCAAATATAGTTGACAAAATAATGACAACAAAAATTAATGTTCACTTCACTTCCTTCTAAAAAAATGCAGCATTTTATAATGATAATAAAGCCTCTACTGATACAAAATTGAAAGCCAAGCTCCCCATATCTATAGAAAGAGGAGGAAACAGAGCAAAGCAATCATTATAAGTGCAGAACACTGGTATATACCTATAATGAGAAATCTTGTGTTAGTATTTGGGTTTTGTACACTTCATGATCCACAGTCACTGACTAAACAATCCACAAACTTATTATTGTATCAAATTTAGATGCAGAAGTCCAAGGAAGACTCAATCTCCTCCACATTATGGACTAACAATATCAATAATCAATTTAATTGGTTATATGAAAACATTATACACTTTCAAAGCATGCGTACTTCTAATTAGCTGCAAATATGTGCTGACTGACATCATCAGCCTTAGTGGCACCAAGTACATGTATACTTTATACATAAATGTACATGTATTACAGCTTAATTTGCCTCTAAAATTATTTATTTATCTTTATCTCTTTTCCTTTACCTCCCTTTCACTTTTGCTTTTGCTTTTTCATTAATTATTTAGTATGAAATGGAAATAAACACCAAGGCAAAATTATAATGACAATGTTTATGGTAATTAATAATTCTCCTTGTTCTCCAATAAAATTCTAAGACAAAATTGCATTTGACAAAAGTTAACTACTTAATCACTACCACAATAAAAAGACCAAAAAAAATAAATAAATCAATTACGGCATGGAGCTGGTATATGTTCACCATTCATCCTTATAACCTCACATGTCATTTTCAGAAGTTTGAATTTACATAAGCCAGAGCAATCTATAAAAAATACACAAGTTATATAAAAAGATTATTAAAAATATAAAGCACATGGTACATCATAATTATAGTATAAAATACCAAGAGGCTACAATTTAAAAATAGTCAAAACCTGGGACTTGTGGTAACAATTGAAAACAATGGCTAAAAACTATAGCTAGTTGTGGGGAGGCCAAAAAACAATAATGATACTAAGCAGCAAAACAGCCTATAAAAATCTTGACAATACAGGTAACAAAAATTATAAAACAGAGCGAAGCAATCATTTTTCTTAATCTGATATCAGTTACTCTCTTACCAGGTATTGGTGAAGTAGTATCACCAAAAGTAGTATTCAATGCAAATGAATTGATATCATTCAATCCAGCAACAGAAAAGTACACATTAGGCATTGATGTCTGCCTCTTTTTACGGCTTCCATCATCATCATCATCATCATCATCATCATCATCATCAGTAGTTGACTGTATATATAATTGTGGACTAATGAAATAATCAATGTCATTTCCATTGCTCATGACGGAGAAATCTTGTGTTAGCACATCTGGGTTTTGTACATTAAACGATCCACGAACTACCAAATTTCCCACTGTAATATCAATTTTTAGTGTCATTCCCATTGATGGAAACACATATTGTAACAAACGAGACGATCCTTTTGGAAGGGTAGTAGCGATTTCTTTTCCAGTCTCAGATTCTGTTGGGGCTATAAAATAATTTAATTAGTATAATTTAACATAAAATCAATGACTTACATGCACATGTTGAGACTCGTAATTGTATCAAAACAGCCTGAAAAGTATTAGAAGAAAAACCACTTATGGTAAAAACACCTTGTTGACCATCTGAAGCAATGGCAACTAACTCTGCATTACTGACACCACTTCCAATACCAAAAGAGAAAACATTAATCTTGTCATTATGGACAGCTTGAGCAGATTGTATTGTTGCTGAAGGGACGGTAGACAATCCATCAGTAAGAACAGCAACTACACGAGGAACACCTTCACTGACACGAGCAGTAGCAAATGCTGTAGTCAATAGATCCAATGCTAAGTTAGTATAAGTAAATCCTCCAGTGTATGGTATGCTTCTGACAGCAGTAGCCAATTGTGAATAGGTATTAATGGAACCTAATTGGATAACAATTGATGGAGTGTCAGCAAAACGAATGACTCCAACTCGGGTGTCATTTGGTCCAATGGTAAAGTTAGACAGCATGTTTGCAACAAAGTTTTTCATTATTTCAAAGTTTTGAGCTGTAACACTTCCAGATGCATCCAATAAAATAATAAAATCAAAAGCCCTTGCAGTACAATCTGTACAAAGATAAGAATATCATAATTTTACACAGTACTGAAGTACATACCTAAATAGTTTTGTATAACAGATACAAGAGAAGTGTCAGGCCTATCGCACTGTGAAGCATCATTAAGGAATGTAGAAATTTGGGAAGGGCATGAAGCAGTTGTTGTTTTAATCTATAAAAGCCGAATAATAATGATAATAATGATATATAATAATAATGATGATGATGATGATGAGTATGATATCAATAATAATAGTTTTTCTTTCTTCTTTTTTTCTCGTAATATTAATTAAAGTTTTTATGTTGATTATTTTGTTTTATGTTCATATGGTAATTTTAAAAGTAATAATAATAATAATAATAATCTACTCTCTATAATAATAATAATAATAATAATAATAATAATAATAATAATAATAATAATAATAATAATAATAATAATAATCTACTCTCTATAATAATAATAATAATAATAATAATAATAATAATAATAATAATAATAATAAATGATAAAAGAGAGAAAGAAGAGAATAGAGGAGAGAAAAGAGAAAACAAAGAAGTCAAACAAGCCCGTCAACCTGTGGAGGAAGGGCAGCAAATAATAATAATAATAATAATAATAATAATAATAAGTCATTTATATTTCTGCTAAACAATAAGGAGTAATAATTACATTACATTTATAATAGACTCAACTACCACTCTCTTACCTGATTTATCAATGTTCTACTCCAATTACTTTTTTTATAATCATGAAAAATTCTATTTTCAATTTGATTTAGGTTCTGACATTGAGGTGATAAGAATATATTTGTACAGAACCCATTATCGATGTAACATTTAGGACGATTTTCAAATTCAAGATTTCCAAACTCACTACAATGAGTATTTGCATTACTATAGAGAGCACTGTTGACAATAGACTGCATCAAACATTTATGGACATTAGTAATCCATGCTTGACCCTAAAATAGTTATATTTATAAATTTATATATTTAATGCATTGTATTTTATTGCTTTGGTAAATACACAATTGCAATGTGTTAATCTACAACGCTACTACAAATGTATTTTATATAAATAATTTAGTGGCTTCATCCTCAGGTATGATTTCACCATAATGGCATTACAAAAAATTACTATTATAGATTTCTTTCTTAGAAATTTTTTCTTCAAAAGGATGTTTTAGCTTTCTAATTAGTATCATTACTACAACAAGGATATTTGTAATCATACAAGTTATATAGGGTGGATCATGTGGGGGTTTTTCTAGGAAATATTTACAAGAGAGATATATATCAAATATCAAAGTTGCCCAATGCTAGTTGTTGAAAGCAACTTCAATGGTAATTTTTTTGACAGACAACTGAAAGGTCACAATTACAATAAAACAGAATAAAATAGAAATCAAATAAGGCTAGGACACAGTAGTGTTATACTATGGAGCATAGCTCCAAAACAGATTGGCAAGCCAGCGTAATTACAAAAAACCAAGAAAGAACAAAGACTAGAATAGAGTAAATAAGGAAGAGGAGGAGGAGGTTGATAAAATAACATTGATTAGAATTTTAAAAAATACAATAAGGTAATAGATTAAATCTACATGGCAACTCTTTTGCCCACTAAAATTTTATCAAATTAACCACTAAGTTGCTTTCAACAAAGTTGATTAAGTTGTGGGGCATGCATCAATGCAATCAGTGTAGACTACTTACTGCTGTTGTGAAGGACTCTGATTGTCTCATGAATCTGCGACAGTAGCGTCTTCCACGGAAAAGAGGATAATCCCTTCGTCCGCAACTGAATTTAGTGCTCAAGCAATCATAAAAACTGCAGTTACCAGCACTGGCTAAAGCAGAACAGTCAGTATCTTGAGCTGTGCATTGATCAGTGATGCACAATAGAATGACAACAACAGCAGCAATAGTGGGAAAATGAGAAATCATCTTACAATATTAGCAGCAGCCTATAAAGTTAAATAACAAAAGAGAGCAAGAGAATGGATGAGAGTGAGATGGGAAACTGAAGAAAACACAAAATAAATGAGATTAAATATATAAGCAATGACAGGAAGCATTAATACCAACATACAGGAAGTATCTAATGTCATACACACCTAGATCTAGACAGAAGCATGCATGCATTGCCAGCAGGGATGTCATTTTAAGAAGTTTGAATTTACATATGCTAGAGCGATCTATAAAAGATATACAAGTTACATAAAGCAGATTATTCAACATAGCACATGGTACATTATGTTATTGTCCATTCTCAAACACCTGGTATAAATTATCAACAGGCTACAATGACATGTGAGAGGAGAGGGGATTAATATTTTTTATATAAAAATTGGCTTTGAAAACACTTCTACACATAACTTTATTACCTGTTGTGAATGAAATTGCTGGAAAAACAAAAGCAGCCACGCACCATCATACACAGCATCAGCTCAGTAGTCCTTGCAATGCCCTTGTAAAAAAATCTTTAAAAACTTATGAACAACAAAATTGTGTTCTAACTATTATTAAAAAGAGATTTCAAGACAATTATGATTATGCTGCTATGAATAACAATATGGAGAAGTTGTAAAATTATATCATACCCATTGACATGGCTTTAAAACACTATAAAATGAGGCTAAGAATCAGATTGAACAATTACATAATATTATGTACTCTTGCATAGGCGGCTATAGGCCCGGGCAAGCCAGGGCTTTGCCCTGGTAGTTTTCAACCAAAACCACACCCAAAAGGTGTGTTTTGTTATTATTAGGAGTGATATCATCACTAGAATTCATTTTTTATAGCCACAACTGTTTATACTTGCTATCAGCTCCACTTTACAGTTATTTTAGTGTGATAACTGGCTTCTGTGAGCTATCATAAGGACTTTCAGTCATTTTATTAATTGACCACACCCCTAATTTTTATGAATAATTAATGAGCCCTGGTTAATTCAAGATTCTGTAGCCGCCTATGTACTCTTGATCTAACTGTTAGTATAGCAACTTGAGAAAACAGTGGAAATGCTCAAGCAAAATATTATTAAAAGATGTTACAGTACTTATCTAGCAAAACTGAAAACAGTTGCAGTAGAAATTGGAAAACATTATATGACTTTACCTGCATGCATGATGTGAATGAAACATTATAGCCATTCAAATGTACTGATTTTGTTGAACACTTAATAGCATGACACATATAGCATAATGGGGGCAACGGAGAACATTTCCAGTGTTGGTTTTGTATCTATCTGGCTACATTCATTGTTAGCTTCCCACTTGTTTCTTAGTAATTAAGGTTAAACAAACATATTAACATACACTCACTATAATTTTTCATTCACTTAATTGTCTGTCATCTCAGTCAGACAATTCTTCAAAAAGGCAATCTTATAGACCACCCCGAGTGAGAATTGCTTGCGTAGGAAGACTATTACGGTTGTAAGGCGTGGTTTAGAATGAAATAGACTAATTTCAAATATATTCCCGCCGCCATTTTGCCATGTTTTGGTTGGCAATGGAGAACAAACGGGCTGACATAAAAATAAACCTGTATTAAGAATTCTGGAGCGAATTTGACCAAATCTTTTACAGGAGAAGCTTAAAGGTAGCTATTCTTTCTTACAACAAGCACTTTTTAGCTTTTGATAGAGCTACAGCAGGTAAGTGAGGCATTTTTTTCGTGCCTCCATTGACTTTCTTAACTTGCCAACCAAATTTGGCAGCCAATTATGACGTGTGGGCGGATATCGTATATATAACTTCATAGCTCGTGCTCTTAGTGGTCTATGTGTGCTGATTAAAAATAATGGCAAAAGAGAAGTAAAATATTTATTTCTAATAAAAAATTAATTAATGTGCAGTAGATCTACAACAATCAAATGAAAGAAGCCTACAACTAGTCATATTAAAGCACACATGCACAGACGGCATCCCATATCTATATAAGAGGAGGAAACAGAACAAAGCAACCACAGCCTTAATTTCATTGTTAATTTAAGTCAGACCATTTTTGATATGACTCCAAATGACACACACACACACACTAGAGCAGTAGCTGCAGTATTAACCACATATGCAACCCTACATACCAAGCACTACTACTTGGTAATAACAAAATCAAAAGCCATTGAATTACAATCTGTACTAACATACAACATACCTTTTATATTTACATGCCTTTCCCACTTAAAGGTTGAACCAATGTACCATGCAGCGGCATCTCATAATTAAAAATCATTTTTTTCATTTGCTTGACCATCTATCTGTCTGGCATCATTGGAAACAATGCAAACATAAATTTAAACCAAAAATAGTTGACAATAATAATGACTACAAAATTAATGTTCACTTCACTTCCTTCTAAAGAAAAAATGCAGCACTTTATAATGATGATAAAGCCTATACTGATACAAAATTAAAAGCTCCCCATATCTATATATAGAGGAGGAAACAGAGCAAAAAGCAATCATCATAAGTGCTATTGATCCTAGAACACTGGTATATACCTATAATCAGTGGCGTAGCTACATAGGGGCCTGTGGGGGCAAGTGCCCTCATAACTGCTTCTTAATTGTGCCCCTGCAACTAGGCAGGAGAATGAAAGATACAAGTTACAACTGACTCAATTGAGCTTACTATATTGAGTATTCTTGAGTATTGCTTTAGTCAGTGCCCCCACTGTGCCCTCTTTCTTCATTTATTCTAGCTACGCCACTGCCTATAATGAGAAATCTTATGTTAGTATTTGGGTTTTGTACACTTCATGATCCACAGTCACAGACTAAACAATCCACAAACTTTATTATTGCATCAAATTCCCATGTAGGAATCCAAGGAAGACTCATTCTCCTCCATGCACATTATGGACTAACAAGTAGAAATCAATGACTGACTTAAGGTACAACGGGCTGAACGCACAATTTAGATTTCGGGACACAAATTGTTTTCTTTATACTATTTCTACAATATATAATTTTTTCAATTTTTTTCTCAATAGTGAGAGCAATAAACTTTACTAAACTTTACGGTAAAATGGATGAAAACTGAGTAAAGAATTCTTAAACATGATGAGAGTCCTTTAATTTTTAGTAATATCATTGTGTTTATAATATTATTTTCTATTGACGTATGTTGCATCATTTGGCAAAAGCTTTTCAAGTTTTGCAAAATGGGCTGCAATCTCTCAAAGTTTTGTTGACTTTGAAACATCAGTGTATCACAAAACCATTTACTGCATACAAACTTGATTGAGTGTTTGCCTTCATTATGCCACGATTGCAAGCTTTAGAGCTTCGTAGAGCCTGCATTCACCAGATGAAACAGCTAAATAAACAATAGTCAGGAAATACATACTGGTGGCCATTTTTATTAATGGTTTGACTAATATGACATCATAACTTAACCCAACCTTGCAATTAATTTTTCCCGCCAGTTTTATAATATAAGAGGTGTCCAGAAATGACACAAGATCAAAGATGGCGTATAAAGTATGAAAAGTTATGCAGGAATTTTTTTAATATATAAAGTTCAATGATCTATAACTTCTAAACAGTGCATGGTAAAAATTTAAAAATAGCACAAGTTGTACAACTTTTTTTTACTACAAAATGGCAGCAATTAAAAAATTATTAAATTTCATCCAAAAGTACCTTAATTGAACACTATAAACTTTCAAAGGAAATTATAATGTATGTTCAGTTCTAATTATCTAGCTGCAAATATGTGCTGATTGACATCATCAGCCTTAGTGGCACCAAGAGTGGATAATTAAATAATTATCCACTCTTGGTATTATGAGATGTGCATGTTTAGAATTATTATGTTCTGTGTTAATTACTTCTGATAATATATGAACATGTATACTTTTAATTAATAAAATGATCTTATGCTCTAGATCTATCTCCTTTGTGTCACACACAATGAGCTGGACATAGCTGTGCAGCTCATGAGGGCTTACTTGTCTATTCCATATGTTAGTAACTTATGCACAATATAGTGATCTTACTTTTTTATGTTTATCTAATTTATTAAGTATTGTAATTCTTTCTATGCCATTTTTATTTCTTTTGTTACCAAAATATCTTAACTCATTTCTCAA